TATAAATATAATTTCTATCCTAACTTACCGAAATAATAATGATTAAGAAAAATTAGTTAAATGATTACATCGTGTTTTGAAAATACACTTTAATATAAACAAATAATCTTTTCTAAACATGATTTTATGTTTACAAAAATAAAGTCATGCTATAAAATACAACTTTAATTTTTATTTTTTGGTAAAAGGAAATATATACGTTTTTCCCATTTTTTTTTAAATTTTTAATTTTAATTTTATTTTTCTTTTTTCTTTTTCTTTTATAAAAGTCGTGTTTTGAATGAATGATTTTTTATTATTTTATTTTACTTTTATAGAAGTCGTATTTGACTTCTTTCTTTATAATTTTTAACATTTTTAAACTATTTTAAATTTTTGAATAATTTTTTTTTTATTTTGAAATACTTTCTTCATAATTTCATTAATGTATTTTTAAAATTTTATATAAACATTTTTTTTTTACTTTGATATATTTTTAAATGATTTAGTGAATAAATTAAAATCAGGAACTTGTAATTGGTCTTAACATGTACGAGTTATTCTCTTTTATTTTTTTTAAACAAATATATTTTTTGGTTTGAAATTTTATTTTTAAGTATTTGATGAACAAATTTTTAAAATTTTTATTTGAACATATATTATTGTATTTAGAGATGTTTTAATAATTTGATCAATAAATTCAAATTAAAATTTTTTTATTTTTTATTTTTAAATTACTTTTTCATTTGTATATAAACTTATTCTTTTTATTTCTTTTGGATAATTTTATTGTTAAACTTATATTTTAATTCATTGATTAAAGTATAAAATTTTAAAATTTATCCATTTCAATAATTCAAATGAATATTATATATATATAGCTCTGTCGTAGTAAATAATAAATGCATAAAATGTTATCAAATTTTGCGAGAAAGTATCAAAAGGGGGTGAAAATAAAGTTTTGGCATGATCAAGTGATGTGTGGGAAAATATAACATGAAGGAATACATTTTCATATCCTCAGAATGCAATAATTTAGATGTTTTAATAGATTAAAACTATGAAGCAGAAGACATTCAACAACTGAATTAAATATACGACAAAGCTAATCTGACGAGATGTAAGTTACATGTATCATATGATTCTATTTTCTCTCCTCATTATATAAAGGGACTAATGTCTAACTACTAATATCCATGAAGAAAAACATGAATGATGTGTAATCTCCCTAATTTTGGTTTTTGATTTGTCTGAATTTGGTAATGCAGGGGGTCATATTAACCCAGCAGTGACATTTGGGCTGTTCTTGGCACGCAAACTGTCTCTGACAAGAGCAATATTTTACATAATTATGCAGTGCCTGGGAGCTATATGTGGGGCAGGTGTAGTTAAGGGCTTTCAGCCAAACGTGTACGAGAGAGTTGGTGGTGGTGCCAATTCAGTCGGTGCAGGGTATACCAGAAAGGCTGGCCTCGGAGCAGAGATTATTGGTACATTTGTGCTTGTTTACACTGTTTTCTCTGCCACTGATGCAAAGAGAAATGCTAGAGACTCCCATGTTCCAGTAAGCAAAACTTTTCCCTTATTTGCAGCTTCTTAGTTCTTGTTTTGTGATCACGAATCTAATAATAGAAATATGAATGGATTAGATATTGGCACCATTGCCTATTGGGTTTGCTGTCTTTTTGGTGCACTTGGCTACAATTCCTGTTACAGGGACTGGTATCAACCCTGCTAGAAGTCTTGGTGCAGCCATTGTATACAACAACGACTCAATTTGGGATGAACATGTGAGTTATCTTTAATTTTCTTTAGATTTCTTTCTGCTTGCCTTTCTTTTTGTTTTCACTTCTTATAAACGTATTTTCTCTATAGCCGGAAAAAAACATTAACAAATCAGTAATTCAATTTAGTGACAAAAACTATCATATCATTCGTGTAATTAAGGCAACAAATTTGATTAATAATTTTTATTTTTCCTTATTAAGAGTGTGTATTTAAAAAATAGTTTAAATTTTCCAAATTGTACCGTTGTGATGCAGTGGATTTTTTGGGTTGGGCCTTTCATTGGAGCAGCACTTGCAGCTTTGTACCATCAGGTAGTGATCAGGGCCATCCCCTTCTCGTCCAAGTGATTCAACAGAGGGTAAATTGAAGCAATGCCTCAAAAATAAAAGTAGTAATTTCCATGTAAAATATGTTCCTATCACTTCTGCTAATGATTTATTACTACTATTGTTAATGTATGTTTTATTTATCTGTTTAAATTTCCTGTATTCGGATACGCTAAAGAACTTGTTGAAACAGAGGTAAGCATGGTTCATTTCTCTCTATTTTTAAGAGCATCCCTACACAAAGTAGAAACTGTATATGATCGTATATAATATTATATATATATATATATACACACACACCCGCACGTTCAAAATAGTAAGTCTCGCGTATAATAGGACAGACATAGGAGGCTAAATATATTTAGATCTTGATACTAGGCACGACAGAAAAAAAATCCTACATTATTTCATTTTGTTTGACAAAATTCACTATCCTACTAAATAATAAGGTAGATATTAATTATTTTTAGGTGTACTATTCGACAGTTATACGTTATGATGTTGAATAATCAACTCTCTTTGAACTTTTTTGTGACAAATAAGGTGCTTAAGTCTGATTTGTTGGGTAGTTGAGTTGTGAAAACTAACAAAATCTTCATGTATATTTTGAATATAAATTATTTTTTAATATTGAAATGAACTATTTGATTGAATTTCAATAAATTGGCGGTGGGAAATGTTAAGTCTAGTAATGAAAATATCAACTAAACTCTAAGGTGTGGGTATTAATTTATTTTTTTCATGACGAAAACGCTTCATAAATGGAACTTTGTTTTGTGTGGATGAAATATATACAGCGCAACTTTATTTTGATTGTTAAGATGAGTGCAAAATTGTAATGCAAAGTCGAATAAATTTTTGTTCTGAATATTTGGAGCAAGTAACAAAACAGAACATGTTATTACCGAAAAATTTATCAGGTTAATATGAGGTGAATTAGTTTGATGTTTGAAGTGGGTAGGAACTATGAATTGTAACTAGAGGAGAAGTTCACTCTCAAGTAAGTAAAAGGTATGTTATGAGTATGAAAATGAAAGAATAAGTATTGAATTTGATTAATACCTAAGAGTATTTATAGGCATTTGTTGGCACATTAGTATGACAACAAATAAATAAGATAATCTCAACATATATCAACGAATTTAATAAATTTAATAAGTAGATTCAGTTTCTTATAACCTAAATGGTTTATTTTATAATAAATATCATATTTTCCTGATTTTAGAAATGATAATATTTTATATAGATCTCATTTGAATCTCATCTTTATTGAATTGTTTTGGGTCTGACAATAATAAAAAAAATTGGGTCACGAGGTATCTCCATAAGTCCAAAACTTTTGTAGGTGGACTAAGTTATTAAATGAACAAGTTTATATGTTGGTTTTAGCTCTTTGTACTTGGTTTTATATGTTACTTTTAACTCTTGGACGAGTTGTATATTGTTTTTAGCTCATAGTAGGGTTGTACTCGAGCACTTATATTATTATGCTTTTGGACGCTTAATTTATACTCGATTTTTTCCGAAAATGTTCATAATTGCATACTTATAAGGTACTTGTAGTGTTTTTCAAGTGGGTCCTTGGTTAAACACTCAGAAGATACTTGGAGTATTTTCGAAGTAAGTCCATGGTTGGACACCCATGCTTGAATTTACAAAGTAGTCATATATTCAAACACTGGTCTTAGATTTACTGAGTAGTCATATATTCAAACACTAGGCTTATATTTACCAAGTAGTTGCATGTTCAAACACTAGGCTCATATTTACCGAGTAGTCTCAAGCTCGGACGTTAGACTTGAATTTACCAAGAAGTCGCATATTCAAAAACTATTCATGTACTCATGAAACATAAAGATATGTAGTGTCTCATTAAAACCTTGTCCAACAAAACCTATTTCAGGAAAAACATTGATTAAAGAAAAAGAGTACACACTAATTTGCATCAATGTGCTACAAAATAGTAAAACAATGGAAAGAACAGATACATAGAATTGAGACATAATTTGATTAAGCAAATGCTAAAGCGAGATTAGAGGTAAAACAAGCATATATTAACTAAAACAAAAGAAAACAAAAACACACACTAAACTTGGGACACAACAAGGTAAAAGTTTTGAAGGAGTCGATTTATTCATGAAAGTATACATACAAAAAACATGTAAAATCAATTGTAATCAACAATTGAGCAACAAAAGGAACTCAATAGGGAAGCTAACTATGATGGATTGGTCGGTCAGACGACTAAGTAGCTCGGACAGCTCAGAAAGGAGACAAGAAAGCTCAGGCAGCCTATGGAGGTGCCTTCGCAGGTTGATGGTGAGCTAGGTTAATAGGTCAATGTAGGATTCAGTGATAAATTGGTGGAGCATATCGACAATTCAAAAGAGCATGATGACAACACATGGGAGATCTTAGTGAAGAGTCTTTTGGAGAACTTGATTGAGAGATCAGAAGATCGGGGTAAAGAGGTCGGTGACAAACTCAGCGGAAAGCGTGAGGAGAGATGGTGGAGAGCTCAGACGACCAATGGGAGTTGGAGAGCTTGGTAGAAAGCTCGATCAACCAATTTGAAAGCTCAGATATCACATGAGAGTAGGTAGGAAACTCAATCAACCAATTGGAAAGCCTGAATAGCAGAAGAGAGCAAGTAGGAAGCCTAGGAGACCAAGTAGTTTGGTAGCCACATAAATTAGCTTATGCCTCTACGTAGCTTAGAGGAGTATGTAGGGAGCTCGGTGGAGTATGTGACAAGCTTAACCAACTTGGTTGAATGCTTGGATAGCCTACAAAGCTTGGTAGTGAGTGTGGACATGGAGAGCTCGATGCTAGATGCGGTCAACTTGGACAATCATGAAGTTACTTCGGGAATCAACTTGGTTAACTTAATAAGCAAAAATTCGTAAATGGCATGGAAAACATAGAGGTCGAGGAGCATTACCATTTGAGGAAATCGAAGATGTTAGAAAAAGTGATACAAGTTATGGAGAAGAAACTAAAAGAAAAAGATGAAAATATTTAACATGTAGGAAAGGTAAATTAGATGCTTAAAGAAAAAGTGAAAAGTCTTAGAAAAGCCAAATTTGGAGGGAGTTGGTACATAACAATCCGGAACAGGAGCTTGCTTAAGTTAACAGGGAGTGTGGATATAGTCACGATAGAAAAAATAAAAATAAAAATGTAAAGTAAAACAAATGAGTCATAGTTAACAAAAGGACGACTATGGTCAAGAAACAGGACGAACATAGTGAAAGTAAAGAATATGAGGAGCAACCTCGATCCACATTATTTATGGAAAGATTAAACTTGGTAAAGGATAAAGGATGAAAAAAATTAAATTTATGGAAGATTTTCTTAAATAAACTTACATTAAGAGAGTTTATTTACCTTATTTTGTTTTCTTAAATAACCTTACATTTTATTTATACGGTTGATTTTTCGTGATTCAATAAAAATCTCAGTTCCTATAAGAAGATCTCTCAGGACACGAATCTCTAATTGTTACCTTGCTTTTCACACTAAAATTAAAGATCCTGTGTTTGTCATAAACTAATCATCACTTCTAATCAATTATTAGGTTATACAATGGATACGGTAATCCTTAAAAAGACCTGAGATTTAAGGATATCTATATAATATTTTATTAAAACTATTAACTTGTGTTATTGAAATAAACACTAGTAAAAAATTGCATTTTTAACTCGTATATTATGCTTCGGTTTTTTCGGAACCGAAGCGTATCAGACGCGGTGGCATTGCTGTAATTTTTAAATTATTATATGCCTCGGTTGCTAAACAACCGGTGTCTAAAAGGCATACTGACTCGGTTGACAGAATGTACCGAGGTATATACCTCAGGTGAAAAAGTTACTGCCTCGGTTACCAGATGGACCGAGGCATATATCTTGGGCTTGGACTGATCCACTTCGAGAAAACCTAGCAGCTACCTCTTTTTCCTTTTATTTTTCTCACTTCTCTCTTGTTCCAATCTCACTTCTCTCTCGTTCCAATCTCACTTCTCTCTCGTTCCAATCTCCACTTCGAGAAAACCCCGCCGCTGCCCCACTGCTGCCTCGCCACTACCGGGAGCCACCACCACCTCGTTCTGGGCGACGGCTCGAGTGCAGCTTCTACCTCACCTGCCATTGCGTCTCTGGAGCGAAGAGGAAGCGGCCCCGCCGCTGCCCCGCTGCTACAAGGAGCCACCACCACCTCGCCTGTGCAAGCGGCCCCGTCTCTGGAGTGAAGAGCAAGCGGCCCCGTCTCTGGAGCGGTGGCTGTTGGCGGTGAAAAATCTCAGATCTATAGATATGAAGGCCCGGCTATTGGTGGTGGCTTTTGGCGGTGGCTATTGGCCGTTCGCAACCTCACGATGAAGCCGAGGCCAGTCGTCGGACCGCTGTTGCTCAGCAAAGTCGCCGTTGTTGGCTTCATTTTACGCAGGTGAAGGTGAAGAAGGAGCAGAGCACGGGCTTAAGGATTTTTTCGTTTTTGTGTTTTCTTTTTTGTATTGTATGATTCTGTTATATTTATGAAAGAATCTGAATATGATTTTAGCCTCTCTGGATATTTTCCTCTCTGGTTGTGAGATTTTGCTCTCTTTTTCTGGTTGTGGTTTCATAGAGTTTGAGATTGAAAGATGCAACAGAGGAAATGATAATAAAGATGCAACAGAGAAAATGATAATAAGTTAATCTGATGGAAGGTGATCTGATGGAAGGTGATCTGTTAATGGAAGGTCATCGGCCTGGAAAATCGAAAACCACTATATTGCCTAGGTTCAGGTCTCAAACGAGGCAGTAGAATCCAAGATATTGACTCGGTTCAGCAGAAACCGAGGCAACATCCTATCGTTTTTCGACTCGGGTCACAACCGAGGCAAAAAGAGATAAACTTTTTACCTCGTCTATATATGCCTCGGTTACGAAACTGGTGTCTATAACCGAAAATAACCGAGACCATATCCCTTGAGTGCACTAGTCAAACCAGTTTTAATTAGAAAACAATAAAACCATGTATATATTTGCATCTCAAGTTTTATATTTTTTTATTGAGTTGGGTCTTATAATTTTGTAGCTAAGCCTAATTTGGAAATAGGCGAGTATTCTAAAAAATAATAATGTGCGACTTAGCCAAATGATTAAACTCAAAAACAAGAAAAGAGAAGAAAAAAAAAGAAGATATTGTTTTACAAGTTCCCCCTACTTTGTAGTTGAAAG